CGGCATAGAAAATCCCAGCCTCTGCAGTTTTCACCTGTTCAAATGTCCCGCAACAACTCCACTTCTGCTGGCCCATGCCTCTCTCACCCTGGGCCCTGCCCTGAATCCCATCTCTCAATGGTTCAAAAATTTTCTGGTGGCTCTAGATGCTTCCAACAGCCATCCTGTCTTTCCTGGCTTAAATTTCTCCATGAATTCCAAATGTCCAAAGGGACTCATTACAGAGCCCTGAGCTTCTCCAGCAGGGGCTCGCTCCCCCTGTTTCTTCTCCTGAACCTCAAGGCCTAGCTAAACTTTTAGGCAGGAAATTCTACCTGAACAGGACATAAGCCTAGGATCTGGTGTATCTATTTTTTGCCTGTATGATCTCTTGGGCCTGGAATGGTGGTTCTCAGCCTTGGCTGTGCATTAGAATCACCTAGGGTGATTTCAGAAACCTCAATGCTTTGGCCACACCAAAGACCCAAGAAACAGTCTCTGTGGAAAGAGGGGACCCAGACATCAGTATTTTTTAAGACTATCCAGTGATTTCAATGGGCAGCCAAGGCAAGAACTGAGATCAGTTCTCAATGATCAGTGCTTCTTGCCGCTCTTTCTTTTCTGGCAAGCTCCGATTTACCCAACAGGACCCGGACACATTGCCAGCCCTCCAGGAATCAGCAAAGCCCTGTGCCTCTGAGGTTCCATACCCCACCACTGTTTCAGCCTTCACCCACATCACTTTAAAGTTCACTTGACAGCTACCCCTGCCCCAACCATGGCCTCCAGACTCAGTTCCAGTGGCCACTCTGGGTCCTCTCCACAAAGATGAGACTCAACAGTGCCCTGCTCATGTGGATACATTACTATTGATATTTAAAATATTTTTGTTTTGATCTATTTTGGATCATAAACTCCTTCATTCATTCAATAACCACTGGTGATGCCTCTACTCTTTGCTCAGTCCTCGGTCCCATATAGCAGATGAGAAGGTTAGGGGGGTTAGAGAGGGGAGCTAACACACGACACAATAAGATAGACTTTGTCTGTTGGGAGCTTGCTGCATTTACCACAAAGGAACCGTTATCATTCAGGATAATAAATACCCTAACAAGGCTGAGCATTTAATAGGCACTACTTAATTTTTCTAGCAAATGTGGGTCACTCTACCATTAGGACATCAGTTACTATGCCATGCATTTTTCTCTGTACAACATCTAACCCAAGGCTAATGTACAATTAGGAACTTTAACCACTCCTCATTGATGATGCTAATGATATCAAAACCTTGTGAAAGAACATAGGGATGGATAAGATAGAAAGATGATGCTGTGAGTTAACTGTTATACCGGAAAATATATAAAGTAAAATGCTCTCTTAAATAATAACCCTGGTGTGTGGTGTGGCAGAGGATGAGATGGCTATTAGCAATGTGCATTCTCTACTTCTTTCTTACTCACAGAACTCTGTTTTGTTTGGATCAGCAAATGTACAGTTAACAAAATAGATTTCCCTGCCTCCCTTGCAGCTAGGGGTAGCCATGATACGCAGTGCTAGCAAATGAGATGTAGCTGGAATATGCCAGGGAGCTCCAAGAAAAGTTTGCTTTCCTGATATGAGCCTAGTCCCTTCCTCTGTGTTGCTTCTGTGTCTCCTTCCTGCTTAGAACAGGAGAAGGAGATGGCATCCCTGGGCATGAAAGCCACAAGCTAAGAACAACTGAGAAAAGCTGCAGATGGAGCTTTGGACATTAATGGCATTGTGACGTTCACAGACACGCCTCAGACTTCGTGTGGTATGGGAGAAGAATAAACTTTTATTTGTTAAGTTTATGTTGCATGCAAACTGCCCCGATAGCTATATGTGCTTTGGTGCAATGAAAATGAGCTCTCATGGCTATATAACCTCCAAATCCTCACCTCTAAAATGAGGTAATAATATTCATTGTTAGGAAGGGTTAGAGATACAAAAATGCTTAGTACAGAGCCTGGGGTGCAGTTGGCATTCAATAAACATCAGGAATCATAATTCTCATTTCTGGCAAGCTGTTCATGTCCATGAAGTCATCCTGTAAAATTCTAAGGTAAAAATGAAAAACAAAGTTAAATAAGATACTATTGAGCACTGCTCTGTGCACACCAGTCTGCAGGTATGCTAAGAAACACTGCCAGATGGACACAACCACAGTGTCTCAAGATTTCTGTCTAAACAATGAAGTTCTACAATATAACTGAGCAATAAGATTGAACTACGAGTCCAGTTAGCATCAGATTCATAGAAACTCGTGTTTATACAAATTGTGTTATAGAAACCAGCAATGAAACCACCATTGGTAGCTTTGCTTACTTTGTAAAGCATTTTCGAATCTACAGCTTTAGTCTAGCTTTACAGCAGTCTCTGTAGGCCTGACAGGTATTATGGCTCTGGGCAGCAACACTGGAACAAGAAGCCAACACTGGAACAAGAGTCCCTGACTCCAAGCCTTGGCTAAGCTGATCTTGCTCAGAGCCTTGGGGTCCCTCATTTGGGCACACAGCTGGTCCGCATTGTAGTTGGAGGGGGTCTCAGAGCAGGCGGAGTGAATGGGAAGAAGGCACCCCACTCTGCTGAGCCCTCTACATGCATTATCTCATGACAATCCTTACTATGTTATAGCCTTATCTTTCCCATTTGTTGATGAGAGAATGAAAGCTTGGAATGGTTAAACAAGGTCTCCAGGTTTGCACAGTTTAGAATCTCAGTCCAGTGGGAACTTGGACCCAAGTCCTTTTGCTCTCTGTGGTGAAGTTTTCAGCACCGTGACAACACACAGGAGTGCAGGATGACAATGTGACTAAAGACATGGGAGGTTTGGGTCATCCTGGCACTGGAGAGGCTGTGGGCCCTTAAGCAGTTTTTTCAGCCCTGTTTTTTTAATCCTTCATGTACCTCTAACAGTGGTCCAATAAATACCCTGACATTCTCCCCACATGTACTTTATTTACATCTAAAAGCTATGTTGGAAAAAATGGAGCCTGTGTTTGTCTCTGTATGTATTCGTGCCTGGTAGGAATGCTGAATCATCAGTATGGTGTAATAAAGGAGGTCAGGCTTTAGAACCAGCAGTCCTGGGTTTAGATCCCTCCTGTCCACTTTACATTTCTCAACAACAAGGAAATAAAGCACAGATAACTAACCACTGATATCTACTTCTCCAGCTTTCTCCTAAGTAAGCCACAGTCACTTTCATCTGTAGATAACAAAAGTCACACACGTCCAATTTGGTGCATTTCTTGAATAAAACACCTCCCTTAGGCACTTGCCAGAAAGAGTTCCAGAGTCACCGAAAGAAACCAACAAAGCAAAAATCTGAAAACAGGTAAACATCAACAATTGGTTTTGAACTGTCCTTAGAATGCCATGGAGAGCTACGCCTTGATTCCAGATGTTATTTGGAAACATCAAAAGATGGGCTGCTTCTTTTCTCCCTTTACTCTAAAAAACAAGCCTTTTAAAATTGTTTTTTTCCAAGTTCTACAGCCCAATAAAATAAATAAGGCACAAAAGCTGCTTATTTCCACACATTTGGCCACAGGTAGCTGATAAGAAGATAACTGACACCAAGATTCAAAACAAATACTTGAAATTCTGAGTGGAGGTGTTTAGTGTTTGCATAGCACAAATAGTCTTTTCTTGCAGAAAGTCCTTATATTTTTCAGTGAGAAGATGCCAGTGATGACCGCAACAAATTTAGTGGAGACAAATGCAATAGGAAAAGTCGTTCCTATGCTGGGCCTTCATGCAGTGTAAAAAGTGCCAAATTTAATAATGACGCAGTCCCCACAGAAAAAATCAGGATAATCCTTGAATATTACTTCTCGAACAGTCTCACAACTATTCCCGAGACCGTTTACAAAACACTAAAGAATACTATAAACACAATAAGAAAGAATTTAGTCAATATTCTCAATTACGAGGACGTTTGCACATATCTGGCTGGAAAAGGGCTCCTGCTAAACCAAATCTGCAGTTCTTTGTATAGCATGCTTCAGGAAGCCTTCATGCCCTGGATTTAGCATCTCTCTGCAAGAACACAGCTTTTCTGCCCTTTTACAAGGACCCCTGGGCCATCACTGCTCCCTTCTCCCTCTTTTCAGCAACATTACTTCGTTATCTGGTTTCAAAGCAGATGAAACAGGAGAAACATTTCTGGATCTGGGCCAGGATAATAGGTTTCTACATTGAAGCTGTGGAGAAATCACCATGTTCAGTCACAGAAAACTCTTCATTTTAAAGACTGTTAGGCAAAGAATGATCTATACTGGGAGAATTCCCAGTCATGGAGAATATCACAGAAATTATTAAGGAACTACATACTGACTTAGGCAATGGACAGTGCATTTTGATGGTCATTGTGGATTTTGTTACATGGCAAAGAATCAAAGACTTGGCCTGGAGACAAGTATATGTAAAAGTGTATAAGTATATATGTATGCATGTGTGCACTTGTGTGTGTGTTTGGGGTTTTCTTGTGATCAGTATGGCTTTTTGAGACTCTTACTATTCTCCTTGTTTGCAATGCTTTGTAAACCTCTTGTGGTTAAATCGAATTTTAAACTGTACTTGCACTGACTGCACGACATCCCCTTGATGTCCCTTGGGAAAAAACCCGGGTCCGCTTTGTACAGAAAGCACATTATAAAATGTAAGAGAGAATTACTTGGCCTGGGGCAAGTTCTTATGTAAATATATCCTCACTTTGGTTGTTCAGTGGCGTTTTCTAACCAGCCTGTGTTCGATCTCAAATTCAACAGAAACTGCTGGTCAGACATGTTTCTTTGTTTACATAACTATATATTTTTAAAAACTTAGAAACATCCCATGGATAATGACTTTTTCCTTTTTCTCTGCAGGAATCAGAAGGGAATAATTGAGAAGGAAGAAGGATGGAGGTAAGATGGACTGGACCTTTCTAGATTCCTAAACTATTAGGCACTGAGCAACATTGGAGGCCCCGCCCTGGTAGCCCTGGGGGCACTCACCGTGGTCATGGGCAAATACCAGCAGCTCCAGCCCCACCAGCATCTGAGCCAGCTCATCATAGCGGCCGCAGTGCTCCCCGGCTCCATGGGACACAAAGACGAGGGCCCTGCGGGGAGGAGACGGGAGCCGGGTTAGGAATGCAGCAGATCATTGAGGCTGCAGCTTGGGCAGTCAGGAGCTTTCGTGACATCGGCAACAAGTCACAGACTAGATCGCAGACGAAATTGGAATGCTGAGCTTCAGGGTCCCACAGAATGAAGCCCAAATCTGGGCTCTCCTGTGAGCTCTCAGGCAAAGTACTCATCCCCAAAGCTTCATTTCTTCACCTGTAAAGTAGTAGTAATAATGGTCTTTTCCTCTGGGGAGGGATGGTGAGGGTACCAGATACTGATTTATGCCAACATGACAGGCAGAGTGCTGGCACATGGCAGGCCCTTAATTGGCGGGTGCTGGTTTCCTCTCTAGTCAGGGCACAGTGATCAGGCCACAGTGACTGGCTCAGTTATAGGCATGTGACTCAAGCCAACCTGACCGAGTTCAATCAGAGCCGACCCTAAAGCTTTGGTCAGGTGAAGGCATTTTCATTTTCCCACTAGACTGCAGCCTTAAAAGCTGTGGGCCTAGATGGTCCCCAGACATCTGGCCAAAACTGAAGTATGGGTCGACAACAGAGAAGAACCACGTAAAGGACCGCTACCAAGTCCTAATGGTGTTTGAGCCTTGAATCCAGCTGGCCCTGAAGCCAATATTTTACCCCATCATGCCTTTTGTTGTTGTTGAGGTCACTGGATTTTCTGTTACTTATGATGAGAAGAATCCTAATTGATTTACAGCTCTTTCCATTTTTATGTGGAATAACTGTACTTCTCCACTCATTCTTCCACAGACTGCTGGCATTTGTATTATTCGTGCACCTATTTTCCTCCCTCTTTCTCCATCTGGCAAACTCTTCCCCTTCCTTCAATACCCATCCTTAAAGATCCCCTCTGAGAAAGATGTACAGCCTACAAACAAATCTCTTTAAGTTTCTTCTCTGCTCCTATTACAGGAGGAGTGACAGCTGTTTTCTGCCTAACTCCACCATTGGTTTCAACCTTCTTGAGAACATGTAGATTTCTCCCTCAGTTTTCTTTAGTGGCTAGCAGAGTTTTGAGTTCATGGTGGGCACTGCAAATGCTGTTTGAATGAATGAATGAATGAATGACAAAGGTTGTAGAGTTTTCAAATAAATAGCTATTTTTCGTACCTAAGATCTATACAGAAGAAGCCTCAGGAGCTAGAAGCAGAGCTTGGCTAGGCGTTCAGTCAACCCAGGAAGCCTTCGATGAAGCATGACTACTCTGGGACACAAACAGTAGCACCCACCAGGCACGGCTCATCCTAGCTTCTACACTGGCTGGTATCAGCCCAGCAGTGGCAGGTTAATGAGAGGATATATAGATTCTTAAATATACAATTTTCAAGACTCATATTCTTAGCATAAGACCTGTGGGGGCTAGAGTCTCTTCAAGCAAGGAGTGACTGCTGTGAGCCACACCATCCAATTTCTGCCAATAAGTCTGGAAAGAGGAGAAGGAAGAGAACAGCTACCATTTTACTGAGCATTTACTATGTGTCAGTTCCTCTATTAATTCCATATAAAAGAGTTCTAATCCTCAAAATAATTTTATGCTTTATCTTCTTTACAGCTGAAAGTGAAAATCAGAGAAGTTAATAGCCCAAGTCACACAGCAAGCTAGTAAAACACAGATCAGAGCATGTCAGCACTTGGCTTTCAGGTATCCAATGGGCTGCCAGAAGGCTCAGAATACGAGTCATCTTGTCCCTTGCTTGCCTTGCCATTCCTTCTGGCCACCTCCCTGGCTCACCTCCCTGTCCTCAAGAGGGACTTTTAGACATTCTTCAGCAGCGTGCAGTTCTTCCCATCTCAGAGTCTTTGGCCTTGCCAACTCCCTCTCCCTGGAGTGCTCTTTCCCAGATCCCCCATGGCTGCTCTTCATGCTTGGATCATAGGACAGAAGCCACCTCAGAAAGATCTCTTCTCCATCCCACCTGGGGCAGTCTCCCTGGTCCCTCACTGCACAGTTTGCCACTTGCTTACTTGGTTCCTGGCTTTCTGTTCCACTTTGAGATCAGTTCTAGAGGCCAGGAACTTATTTACCTTGCTGACAGCAAAACCCCAGAATAGTATCCCAGCCTAGTGGCACTGAGCAAGGACCAGCAAATACAGGTTGAGTGAATAAACTGTTCAAAAGCCTGTGCTATTTCTACAATTCCTCTATAGCTGTTTGTGTAGGGGCAGAACAGTGCCAGTTTATTTCACCATGCTGTATGTTTTATTCTTAGAGCAGAGCACAGAGTACCAGCATTAACCTCATTTTCCTTTGGCATCTGTCCTCCTTGCCCTTTTCCTAAAAATACAAGAGAAACATTTCCCACTCTCTTCATTGCTCCATGGAATGCCCAGCTGCCTGGTTATACTTGCTCACCTGACACTTCTGGGGTTAGCTGATGGGATTCCTTTTGGCTGCTAAGGAGCATGGCTGAAACCTAGTTATCGTATCCAGTCCGCGAGGAAAGGCTCAGCACTTTAAATCCTTTGTGAATTGTGGCAGCTGCTATACTGATTCAGCCTACAGATAATGAAGACAAGTGATCAGCCTCTCACTGCAGTCAGGGTCCAACTCAGTGAAAGAGGATTTCGGGGTTTTGTTTAATATCCAAAAAAAAAGTGGTATAAGGCATTGTCACAGTGCCTGGACTTGCCTGTCAATAGTCTACCCTAGAGGCAACATGTGGAAAAATACCTGGCCTCTTACTCTACAGAAATTCTTCTAATTCAGTGGTTCTCAACTTGGGCCTCACTTTGAAATCACGTGGAGAAATTTCAAAAGCTGGGTCCCCCCATCAGAAGAACCTCTGGGTTTAATTGGCCTGGGGTGGGAAATCTTCCAGTGGTCCTGATGTGCAGCTGGGGTCAAGAAGTATCTGCTCTCACAGCTGTGTCCAGCTTGGGTGACAATGCTGCTCAGATGCCACATGGAACTTGCAAGTTGTGAGAATGCAGCCATTTTGATGTGGAGATTTACAGCCATGTTGGAGCCACTTATCAACCTGAAGGACATGCTGAGTAAACCATAGGTTCTATCTGTAGAGATGCAGAAGCTTCTGGAGCTTGCCACTGCCATCCTTTTGAAAATGAAGCAGACTGACACGGCCGTCCCGCCGTAGGTAGCAGAGGCTTCAGCCGCTCTTCTCTGCATAGGGCAGACAGCACCTGCAGGCTCAGCCTCCTTTCCCCTCCAGACCCAGGTCAGGATACACACTCTGACAACTAACTTCATTCTGGTCTTTTGCTGCTGCTGCCACAAGAAGGATTTTTCTGAGTTCCTGGATTCAGTCAGCTCTTGTCTGGCCTCCAGTTCTGAAAAATCAATCTCTTCTCCCCTTCCCCATGCTTACTGTTCCCTGAACCTAAGTCTTTGTTTTGTAGAATCTGGCAAAGTGAAAATCAAACCATGTTGCCACTCTGCTTTTTGTCCTCTGCCACAAAACAAAGCCTGTTGCCTCTGCGATAGCATCCTCACCTCTCTACACTTCTTGCCCTGGGCTCCTTGCTGGTGTTGAGATGTGCCAATCATGGTGCGCTGTTAAGTGTTTAAGAACTTGTGTGTGTGTGTGTGTGGTGGGGGTGGGGGGGGGGGGGGGAATGATCCTCATTTGTAGCATTTGCCAATTTCCATGGCGTAAATGCTCTCACCATGGCCGATTTCAGGTTATAACTGTGCCATCCCTGAACCAAGAGTTGAGAAGAGGCATGAAACTATCAGCTCCCGAGAGCCCAACCAAGCAGGCTCCAGTGCAGGTTGTCAAGCTCCTTCCCACCTATAGGAGCTTCTGCTGCAGATAACTGCCCCCAGCTCCATCTTGGCATGCTAGCTTTGACTGTCATTTGGATCTCAGGTTTCTTCTGACCACTTCAGTTGAAGCAATCTCTTCAGCACTTGTCACTGTCTAAAAGTACTTATCCTGTGCTGTTTTCTTTTGCCTCCCCTGACTAGACTGTGTTGTGCAAGGGCAGAGGTCTCGTTGACTTCATTTATTACTATATTCTCAGTTGGGAAAAATGCTGGTGCATAGTAGGAGATTAGTAAAGATTTATTGACTGACTGGATGATTCCTTGGGCTTGGATCCCTCTGCTCATTGCAGTCCCCCAGGTTCAGAACTCACTCCCTGGGAGCAGAAACCTCAAGAAGCAGGCTGGCACCAGAGTTCCCATTGCTTTGCCACAGCCACCTGTCAGGATGGCTCCCTCCCTCCCTTCATCCCCACACTCTTCCTATAGGTGGACCCACCATCAGTACCACCCTGTGTCTAAACCTGACCAGCAGTCCTCCAGGCCCACCCCAGGTCCCAGCCCTTCCCACCTCCTCCATCTTGTTGCCATGGACACATCTAGTCACATCCTCAGGTCTATGTGTTGAAGTCTTGTCTCTTTGGTGAAAGGAAAACCCCCCAGCGAGGCTTTCTGTGGAACTTCCACATTCACACTGTATGTAGGCCGCCACTTGGGGTTTCACAGATTATATCTGCTCTGAAACATATAGCACAAAGAAACTAAGACAATGAGTAAATAAATACCACAGTTGCCAGGAGGCCATGAACAGAAAGCATAGGCCAGGTGTCATGGCTTGGTTCTCAACACCACCACATGTGGCCCTAGGTAAGTCACCTAGCCACTCTGAGCCTGCACTCACAGGATGGCAGCAACAGTGGCCCTTTGACTGAGATTGTCCAGAAATATTGACTCAAAGCTTATCACATGCCAGGTCCTAGGGACACAGAGATGGAAAAACAGCATTGTCCTTACCCTGACAGAGCTGACAGTTTCATAGGAAAGACACTCAGCAGAAAATACATGTGTAAATGTATATTGTGAGAAGTGCCATGAACACAGAGAGGGAGCCACTTGGGGCCTTATTGGGACTGGAGGGAGGGGCCTTGGAAGACCTCCAAAGTGTTGAAGCTGAGAACCAAAAGCTGAGATAGAGATAGTCATGGGTGGGGATGAGAGCTGTCCTGGTATAGGGTCACACCCAGGGCAA